ATGTATTATAAATAATGTATAAATACTAATACTGTAAATAATGTATTGAAAATAATAGCCTATCGTTTGAATTTGAAAAAAGTAATAAATTTAACAATTCAGATGAAATTACAAAAGTCGCTCTGCTCAAATGCATCGAATATTTGCACTTGAAGAATTGAGACAAATGATAAGAATCCAGGATCATGAAAAATATGCGACTTAACTAATCTGTGAAATTTGCAAATAAATCCTTGTAGATAGAAAGCGGTTATTCACAATACATGAATACACATTTTCGTATTCACATACGAAAAAGCGTAGTATCATGAGTGCGCGTTCGTGCATCGTTCGCTTTTTCTTTCTTCGATTCTGTCCTTGTATTTCACTAAATAATAAATATGAGGGAGTTTCCCTTCTCTTTATTTCTCTCCGAGTTCTCTGTTTCTCTACTAGAAGGATAGGATATACCCCAAGGGTACCATTAGCGTGGTACGATGGTGCCGCCGCTCCGTTTTCCATTCTGCGCCCATACACGCCTTTGCCCAACTTCCTTTTCCTTTTCTTACCTTCGTCCAGCTCACTCCCTCACTTTCACTCTCTTTCTTCAATTTAGAGTTTTCGCCGTGCTGTTTGTCTCGCTTTCTCTAACCTTTCGTTTTTTTTTTCTTGACTGCGGAGCCATAGGCAAGTTGAAACGCAAGTTTAATACACTTAGAGTTCAACCAAAAAGCTATCGAGACATATCTATGTGTAGAAACCATGAAAATGTTATAGAATGCCTCACCAATCGTCCAAAGAGAACAACTATTTTCTAGTGGTATGTGTTACCAGTGAGGTTGTTTATTCCTCGAGGTCGATACTTTTCAGAAGATTCGTCAACAGAGGTTTTATCTATATTTATATTTCAATTAATAATATATATTTATTTAAATGTGGCAGAAATAACGGAGATATTAATAAACACAGTATACACAGTGTTTGAATATATATCTATAAAAAGATTAGAAATCTAAATAAAAAAGATCTGTATAACGTTTATATGGAAAATATAATGTGTGAATAAAAAATAATTTCTATTAATATTATGATAATGAATAAATCAAATATTTTTACGCTTTATTTGTCATATGTTAGCGCAAAAATATGTATTCATTATGTATTCATTTTTAATTTACTGTCAATCTAATTCGTATCTTTTAATAAAAAATTTTTCCATTTACGAATGAAGTATATTTATATCCTATAAATTAATATACATATATATATATATATATATATATATATATATATATATATATATTAGCATTAATTATAACATTTTTTCAAAATCCAAAGATTTTAATTTTACATAAAATAAAAGTATACTGCCAACGGCATTAAACCACACTCTTCAATAAATAAAAACAATATAGTATAATTCTTATTATATTGATTAATTATAATGAAAGCATAAAATTTTAATATATAAAAACAATAGACCATAAATCGATGAATGTACATGTAAATTCTCATTTTCTTAAATAATTCTCATTTCTCAAATGTTAATCCACTTGACAGATGTATCACGAAATTCCTCTTAGATAATTCTTTCAGGTTGAATGCAATAGAGTAAAAGAAGGAGCGAACAACCAATATACTTGAGGCTATGCAAACTCTCTCATCGACTTTGTGAACATGGAAAGGTCGTCGGCTCAAGGGTGGCGGTACTGCTGCAAAAAAGGAAAAATAAAAAGAGGGACTATACATCCAATAAAAATAGAGTGAGAAAAAACGAAAGCGAACGAACGGCAACAGCTCAATGGTTTAAGTAAATCGCTTGCCACCGCATTCTCTTTTTTGCTTATCAATCATTGAGAGCAATAAAGTGACTCTAGGCATTTAGTAACTATTTTAATGGCGGTCTTATGCTACGATGGTCCTGGACGTTTTCAATATCTCGAATTTTAGGCTCTGTAAGCTCTGGTCATTTTCACACCTACAAAGTCGTCGAACCAAATTTCGAAACTTTTTACGCAGTCAGTCACTCAATCATTTATTGACAAACAATTGAATAAAACGTTTAAAATATTGACCTACTTTTATTAAACATTTCCAGCTGATATTTATTATGTGCTATTACTATTTACTCTTCTGTGACAATATACCTTGTTAACCTTTTTTTTTTTTTACTATTTTTAGTGGCTTAATCAGTATCGTAACATATCACTATTTTTACTTCCAACTCTTCAAGAAACCAATCTTTTACTTTCAATATAAGTTTCAATTTCTCAGTTCAGTACGTTATCAAAACAATGATAGTTAATCAAAGATTGATCTCTTCCATTATATTAAGTTTTCATAATCGTCTTGTTTATAATTCTTATATTTACTATTAACATAATGGCGATGTTTGTTTAAATATTCATGATACGCTCCGTACTTAGCGGATTATCAACGAAACTAATTGTTTTCACATGCACAATTTAACTATAGTTTAAAAAATCATTACACTATTACATTATTATTAACTAATATAATAATAATGATAATAATAATGATAATAATTACAACAGTAATAGCAATAATAGTGGCAATAATAAAAACAATAAAACCAGATATAATGTTCTTCGTAGCATTTTAATATATTTATATAAAGTTAAGACACAAAAAATAACTCGTATTTATTGTGCAACTTTTCAATAAGAAAAATTTCAGCAGAGAATTCGGAAACGTTTTTAATAATTGGAATATAGTAATTGAATTGTAAATAATTCTTATAGTTCCGCAATAGATTAATTTGAATTCGCCCATTGATAAAAGCTTGAGTATTGTTGTCCAATCGACGTAGATTTTACTGCCTCTTTAAGTAAAGTAAGGTGTTACATAGAAAATAAAGCATATTCTATAGATGGAATATGGGCAAATGAGGTAAAATCGAAGAGAGTAAGAGAGTGAAATATAACAGTTCATCCAAGATGCACTGCTGGTAGTTGGCCCCCGCGGACGGAGGGGCTGATGGGTTGACTCGATACCCGGAGAATACCGGAAGGGGTAACGAGAAGCTAGTGTAGTCAGTTCGATGGGACGATGCTTGCGCGAATGGTCATAGAAGGGCAGCTATTGGTACGTGTATCGTACGTTACTGCGACGTCTGCTTTCGACATATTGTCGATTCGAACCGAACAGACGTCCTATATTGTATTCTAGTGTGCGTTTCCAGGCGTCTACATTGGCCGTCGTGCAGCAAACTATCCTACTTGCCAGATCACCGTCTCTCTCTCTCTCTCTCTCTCTCTCTCTCTCTCTCTCTCTCTCTCTCTCTCTCTCTTCGACATATAACAAATATTAACTGGCATTTGTGAACTCGCCTGGAGTGAGGAGCGAGAGAGGATGGGGGAGGATAGATCTTTTTGCCATGTAGGCCGAGACCAATTTACTTTTTTTTTTAATTTTTTTTTTATTATTATTATTTTTTTTTTCTTTTTCTTTTTTTCTTCTTTTTTTTTTGCACTAACCGTCAAGTTAATACGATAAGGATAACTTCACTGAATTGTTCGCAAGTAATCCGTAGAAGATATAGTACAAGTTTATAAATTGTCACATTAAAAGGTTAAGATTATTTTTCATACAATTATGGGCAATAACTTTTTAGAAATTAGTTATATTACAAATAATCTTATACGAGTAATTAATTAATTTGAATTATAAAATAAACTTCATAGATTATGAATTTTTATTATAAAGGTCCCTCAAGCATAGAAAAAAGCTTATACGTTTGAGTTTAGCATAGTGCGATATGTATGAATAGATTAAAAATTTTTGTAATACTTCTTAATAATAATCATATTTTAATAATTAGGCATTCGAATGTAACAGTTTTTATTATGTTTTCAATTGACATTATATTGACAGTTTTATTATAATATAATTTTATACATTATTATATCTAAAAAGTTAAGCTGTACATTACATTTTTAACATTTTAAATTATTAATTTAAAAATGGGCAGTTTACATAGTTCATTAAATGTTAAATAAATTGTAAACTAAATTATATCTTACAATTACATCTTAATACTTTAAGATTTGATATTTTTAAGAATATTTTTTAATATTGTAATTTTCGTATTTTATTAGTACTTTGAAGTAATTTTTTTCTCAATTACAAGCAATGTATTATTTTTACGGTTCGACAACAAGAATATAATAATTTTCTCATTCGTGAAACTTTTTATTTAACAAACTGTCGAGTATAAGAGTTTTAAGTATAAAAATATTAAGTACAAAAAGAATTCTTTAGGAGATTGTACATTTTACATCAATTATAAGATAAAGTTAATATAAAATATAAATTATATTGTGGTATAGTTACCGTAAAGTACAATTCATAATTTACATGACTTGTACGAAATACTAGAACAGCACTTTAAGGGAATAATATAACTTTATAATCATTGTAAACGAAGAATTGTAAAATAAGAAATTATAAAAAATATAACTTTTGAAATATCGGCATTTTGAAATATTGATATTATATGGAGATGTTGAAAAACATTTTCAATTATCAAAAATGGATTTACCATCTACAAAATAACTATATAACTTTCAAAAATTATGCTACTATCATTGATAATTTGTAGACGCATATTGTTTTGTAATTGACTAAAATATACAATCGATTAACAAAATTTCGATTAATAATTGATTAGCATGAATGAAACAGATGTAGGACTGCTGCTTTGAAGCCAATGGATTGCTTGTGGATTAGTCACAATCGAATAAGGCCATTGAAAGTGACCGAAAAATGCAGCCAAAAAGATGCCAAAAAATCATAGATAGCAGATGATCGTAGGTAGATGCGCACGACATAATATATTCATCTTAAGAAACTGAAATATATCAAATAGAAGTAATTTTGAAAAAATGAGCCACACACGTCGAAGGGCAAATCTTTTCCAATAAAAAAATATAGCGCATCGTTTAGTTTATATCAAATAAATGGCTAAATGAAACGAAAGGAATTACGAACTATTATTTTACCCTAATTTGAACAGGTAAATCTAAAAGAGAAGAGAAATGCATTCAGCGAAGTTATGGAATACGTAACTGAATATTAACTATGCGAGTACAAAGGTATATCGCGCTTCAAATATCATTGGCATTCCTCGTGGGCATTCCTAATGGGCTTTCCTGATTTACAGTCCAATTATTAATAATAATTCTTTTAACTCTGTATTACATACCTCTAGCGATATTGTCCATAATTCATTGGAGATGCATGTCAACAACAACAACAACAACACCAAAAAAAAAAAAAAAAAAATTGAAAATGATAAGACAATAGAACATTTGTACATTAAAGAAAGTGAAATATACATGAGTGAAAAGCAAATAAAGAGATTCGGAGGCGAGGGAGAAAAAATTACTGCGAACCCGCAACGCGCAAACGAAGATCACGCCGCTACACGCAGCATTTTAACCCCCATTAGTGTAGCTACGACCGTCGCCTTAACAAAGTGGTCACCCCCGTGCCACTGTGTTGTTGCACAAGAATGCCATAATAACGCGAACCCTCCGGTCCCAGCTCGCTGCCTTAATATTATGTAAAAATACAGCGGTTGCTTTCGCCACTTCTTTCCTTCCGTTCTCTCTTCGTTTCCCTCCTCCTTCACCATCTTTCCTTCCTTCCTTCCATTTATCCTTGCCCGCATCCTTTCATCCACCCACCACAATCTCTCACTCTCGACTCCCCTCCTCATCCCTTCTAACCACCATTTGTCCCCTTTTCCTCTCTCTCTCTCTCTCTCTCTCTCTCTCTCTCTCTCCCTCGCTCTCTCGTCCATCTTTGTTTCTATGCTCTCACACTTGTTTGGCCCTCCAGCCGTATGCCAACTCTACGATATTAATATAGATAGCGACTCAGCTTCTTGCACTTTTCATCGGGGTACGCAAAGGGAAAAATGTGAGAGCCCAGCTGCAGAACGCCCATTGGAATATCTAAATAACCCGACGATCTCAGATAGTGAGAAAGAGAGAGAGAGAGGGGTGAGAGTTGAATGAGGGAAAGATAAGATATCTACTCTAAACTCACTCGAATAAGTAATAATATTATAACTCCGTAAGACACTCCCAAGTTTTCTTTGGCTCTATTCTACGTCCTCATATTCTTTCTTCGGAAAGTGATTTGTTGATTCCACCGATTCACTTATTTACATACACAAATTTACTTACGCCTTAATACTTTATCAACGCTCTTAATCTCTTGTAGAAAGATGTATATTTTATTTTATTCATAGAGCCCTTATAGATATGGCAGATAAATAATTATTTAGGAACCTTTAAGCGATAGAACGTAATGTTAAAATATTGTTTGTTTCGATAATTTAATAGGCTATATATATATATATATATTAAGAGAATTATATATATATATATATATATACTTAAGAGAATTTATATATATATATATATATATATATATATATATATATATATATATATATGAAAGTATTGAAAATGTGATATTTATTAATTTTATAACTATTATTACTTATAAGTAATACAAAATTTAAAATGAATATATTTTTCATTAGTATTATAGTAATAGCAGGAGTAATAGGAGTCGTAGTAGTATAAATTTATCAAGTTAGGATATGTTAAAAAATAATGTTATAATATTATTAATTATAAAATCACTGTTAATTATGATAAAACAATCTTCAAATAAAAACTAAAGCTATCAAAAATATTAATCACATTGTTAAAGAGTCCTTATCATTTATTAAATCTTATTTGAGATTTTTCATATAATGTTTAACAAATTCATATCTATTGACCTAAAAAAAATTCAATATCATATTTTTTATTTATAAATTTATTATGTTTTCTCCATGAAATAAATATTACCAAATATTCATGTAGGCTTTGCAATTTAGTCTTATCTGTTTTAGAAAGCAATTTGTATTCGTCTAGAAGGTGTTTTATAATTTTGGCTTTTAGGTGCCAGTCATTTAAATTACCACCTAAATCGTCATTCGAATACGTATTTTCTTTCGTTGCTTCGTCTGTCATTTCCGAAGAATTCTGTAAAGTTATAATCACTCAAATACACGATTACATTAGCATAAACTGAAAAGACTAGATATATATATATATATATATATATATATATATATAATTTAAATAATATATATGTATATAAGTATTACAATAAAATTATGAAATATAAGATTTTATGATAGACTTTTAAAAATTATAATTTTCTTTTATTAGAAATTTTCTTTATAGTTAGCCTCATCAAAATATTTTAATATATTTTTATATCATACTTTTCTAGTTACGATTAAAATACTTATACACATATATTATGCAATTTTTTTCTATTATTTATAAGCGGTAATTGCATCGATGGTGTCTTAGAATTCCATTAAAATATACAGAATCAATCAATGATTTCTTCAATAATTATTAAAAATAAATATTTACTTAACTCACTTCTATATCTAATAGCCATTGCAAAAAATCATGGAAATCGGATGTCAAGGAGCGGCAAGCGGCTTTTTCAATTGTATCGGAATTCGACTGTTGAAAAAGCTTAATTAAATTATATGTAATGGCATTTATTTATATTATTCTGCAATTATTTGTGGTATATATTTTATGGAAAAACTCGTGGTTTTCATCTGCTTTTAATTATGATAATTATCAGAGTTACTAAAGATGATAATTGAGATATTACACATAAAGGATATTTAAATTTATTCAAGAATAAATCATTGAAATTGACCGATGATACATCACCTTGTATATCTCTAGTTGTTGAAATTTTTTAATGCGATTTATTATCATTTTACTATCCATTTTAAAATTAATTTAATTTCAATTTGAATTAATTTAAATTTTTTATTTATACTCATTATCAATTTGTTATTTTAATTTCTTATAAGTGAGTAATATTTTTAAAATGTAAAGAAAAATATTTGCCACTCGCATAGACTGACTATTGATAAATTGTATTTTCTATAAATAAACAACAAAAGTTACATAAACTCATCGATCAAATCCATATTCTTACTGTTTTATAATCTGATCTTCGGTTGTCTAAATTTTTATGTTTTAATGAATTTAAGCATTTACTATTATTGGGTAGACCATAATTCATCATTTTCTGTAATTCTTTATCTTTGTCGTCGCTTATCTAATTAAAATTTTTTTATAATAGAAAAAATTTATTCCCGATATATTAAATGGATGTTTTAACTTCATAGTACAAACCTCATTAAAAATTGTATTTACTATTTCTTTTGCTAAATTACCATGCAAAGCTTGACTTATTTGAGAACTATCGTCATTACTATCACATGTCAGTAAGTCTTTTAAATTGTTTTCCAATAGATGAATATTGACTTTAATAAATGTAATAAACATTACTTTATACAATTATATATATTTCATTATAGATGGATCATGACAGTGTGGCTTAAATAATTATTTTCTTGAATTTTATTAAACAGCAAAGGCAAATTTCTTAACAGATATGTATGTATTTACATTTTTATACATTGAAAATTTTCATCAATATATTTTATATACATATTACTGTACTAAGGCATGTTCATTATTTAAATACAAAGTTTTATTTAATTAAACATATATTTTTTATTCTAACGAATACTTAATAAAATAATAATTGATAAGTATTTATTATGTCTTTCGATTATCAATTATATTATGAAAGTAAGAATAAAATTTCAATTAGGAGATATAGATTTCCATAAAGGACATTCGCATCCCTAAGTCTCTGAACTATATATCAAAGCTTTATAATTCCCCTCATAAACGTCACGTAATTACTTAGTGGCTTATTTAATAAAATTTTATCAATTATTTAAATAAATCATTCGTTGTTGTTTTTTTTTTCTCATATAGTATTGAACGAGTACGTAAATATTTTAAAGATCAGAAAGATTCTTCCTATTCTACAATGTCCAATAGGAATTGAGTCATTATTTATTATGCGCGAGGATACATTTGGCTTTATTTTGAATACCGAAGCTATTGACTTGGAATTATTTTGTGCACATTCATTGCATTTCGTTATTCTATTTATGGTGACATTATTCATTCGAATTAAAGGATCTTTACCTATGGGAAAGACGTTTATTGATTGCAGAACTTTCTCAAGTGGATCTGTGGTCATCGGTCCTACGTTATTCGGTTTAAATCCTTGATTGGAATTTCTTAAAGGATTAGAATCGTCTACGTACATCAACACATTTTCATATCTGTCCTTTGCTGAATTAGAATTCTGTTTAACTCGTTTTGCACCTTTTCTCTGAATTCCAGAATTTTTCATTTGACATGAATTTCTTTTGTGACGCTTGCGCATATCATTACTTTTCTTATATTTCAGTTCAGACAAATTTCGTCTTTCCGCATTGAAAAACATAGCGTTTATTTTCTTTATCACTAATGGTCTATTCTTTATCAATTATGGTGAAAAAAATAAAACAAATGTATTTATTGCTTATTAAAGGATATAATGCGTAATGCTTAAACCTCATATTATCTAATTAAATATCATTTGTCATTTAATTTTTAAAATAGAAGGCACTTTTAGAAAGGCTTACTTTTATTAGTTTACGATTTAAAAAAATTAATACTCTAATAACTAGTATTGTAAATTGTTGACTGATGACCGTTGACTGATGACGAATCGTTAAATTTACGAATATTTGAATTTTTTATTTAATTACTTAATAGTATTAGTTGTAAAAGTATGATAATAAACAGTAGGATGTCAGCAGTTAATCAGCAATGCAAATAAAATAATAAATTAAATAAATAAACAGTTATTTTTTAGGTTTTTTTTTTTTTTTTTGTTTTGTTTTGTTAATCATTTAGATTTATTTTAATATAAATTTCCTAATAAATTTTGTATTAAAATCAAAACCTGCTATAATATGTTTCCTTTGAATGCATTTGATCTGCAATTTGATCTATACAACTTAAATCATCACGAACATTTATTATATTTTGTAAGAAACTGTGTAATTTCTTGTTATTTCTATATTCCATCTGAAAAAGATGAATAATAATTTCATAATTAATTTGAATAATTTAATAATAATTATGTTCAATGTTTTGTGCAATAAAATCAATACAAATTCTATAACTTATTCATAATTAAATATCATTCGCTTATTTATTAGTAAATAATAAGAATGCGATGCAATCGTAATTATTTAATTATATTTATAAAAATGCATACTTATAAATTTCAATATTTTTGAATTCTAATTGGTCATTATTATCAAATATAGTTTTAATGTAGACATTTAAAACGTGACTCGATGCGACAGTATTGCAAACTTTGAATGAACAAAATTTAAAAATAAAACCAAATCTGACATAAATAAAATATAATAGGAAAACGTGAATTCTCAATCTTTTCCCTCATAGAACATGAGAGAAAATTACCC